CACAATATGACGCAATTATATCAACTTATGAAACATATATAGTTTAGCAAAAAACGTAAGCCTATACAAAGAAGTCTGAAAGTTGAATTTATATAATTAGTAGTTTGCAGATTATTTAATATAATTGTCATGAGTTCCATTTCCTGAGAAGTTCTTTGCATACTTTCGTCCATTTCGCTTTCCTCAAAAGTTCAGTTGAAGGGAAAATTTAAGTGTTTATTTACAGAATCCACGTCTATACTACACCATTCTATTAAAACAGTTCTTTGCCTGCCATTAGAATGTAATCCGTACATGTACTTTATATGAAGTTCAAATCGAACTTCATCATTCTTTTCTTTAGAATCGGCTTATCATATGAACAGTTGAAAAATAGGCTTATAAAAGGTTAATTTGTCCATGTTCCTAAGCACGTGCCATAATGGCGTACAGAAGAGCCCACTGTAGGTCTCTAATCCTACCCAGTCCATAATTTACCTTTATCCTGACATTCCACGTGATATAAGGTATCCAGTTGACAAGGCGTTGATAAAAAATAACAAACCTGTAGGCGAATGCCTTGAAGATAGACTTTATGCCCGGTAAAACACTTTAAAGTCATAATTCAGCATTGAAATGGTTTACCTTCTTGTGAAATCGCAAGGGAAAGTTGCTGCCGTTTGTATGTGTTCTGCAACAACTGAGGGTTCTTGGTCAGCTGAATAACTAACAGCTGATTAGAGGTTAATTAATGGGTCGGGTAAGTAATTAATTAATTAGATACTGTAGTTCTACTGACGATTCTTAGCTCGTTGGTTACTTCTATGATTAGTTATTCATTTGGTTAGTTAAGGGGGTGGTTGGGTACTTACTTACTTACTTACTTAGTTATTTACTTGGCTAGGTAGTTACTTATTTAGTTTCTTAGTTTATTACTTTGTTGCAGAGTTACATGATTAATTATGTAACTTACTAGGATTCGTATTTGATTAGTTGGGTTTTCGCTAATTTTACGACGACGTATCAATTTGAATGTTATGTAGCGTGTTAGGATGATGGAGAATGGTGAATTGGAGGGGGGGGGGTGCCGGAGAAACTGGCCGTGGTCTATCATGCC